TCCTTTGAAATAATTAAATAACTATTTCAAATATCAGGAAAATTACCAATTTAGTGGTGTAATTTTCCTCTATTTCACATTACAGGAACAATGATTTTTATATAAGTATATAAATCAAAGTATATATACACATGTATGCATACAAAAGGAGTATTTCTGAAATTTCTGAGTGATGATTTGTGATTTTTATGAATTGATGATTAAATGATCATCATAGACATGATTATATGAATTTAGGATTGAATATGATTGAATTTATTATTGCATTATATGAATTTATGATTGAGTTACACCCTTTGGTGATTACATGTGCTACAAGGGGGTTGGACTAGATGACCTTTAGAGGTCCCTTCCAACCCAGTACATTCTCTGATTCTCTGTTTTAATAAAGATTTATTTACTTGAACAAAAAAAAATATGTGGAACACTTCTGAATACAGTCAAGAAATTCCAGGTGGCCTTTGAAAAAGAATCACTATGTGATTTGCTTTTGTATTGTAAAAATTTCCTCATGACTGTGTGTTGTGTGTCAATGTCCAGACCTCCAAGGCAGTACACCTCTTTGTTTTTATTGCTGCCATGGTTCTTCAAAGCATTCACTATTTAATCACATGTGGCATTTCTCTGTTCATTGTTTGAACAAAAATAGCTCAATTTGATGAGTGTCAGATGTAGAGTGGTTATTTCCTTACTAAGTTTAAAAACAAATCTGTTTCTAACAATAGATACTGTTTTCCATAATTCAGATAATTGATGTAGTGTGCACTAATGCATTTTCTAAAAATTATAAGAGGATATTTACACTTAAAAAGAGAAAATGCAGGTTAAAATAACAGTCCTTCTGTACCTGTGTTGATAATGTTCTTTAGTCAGGATGTGTGTATTTTTTGTTCATGAGCCTAAAACATTTATTCTTTATATTTGAGACTCAAAACAGTATAGATTATGACAGGACCCCCCTGAATCCTTAACAAATTTTGGAAAGAGCTTGCACCCATCACACATGTGCATGACAAGAAAATTCTTACAAGAGATTTGTTGAACTGGGGCATTATTTAAAATGATCTTGTTCAGGACATGATAGAAAATTAAGCTTAAATGTACTTAATGTGCCAGATGTTATCAATGACATGCTAGCCCTCCATGATTCTCTTGGGAGACCAGCTTTATGTCTGTTGATACTTGATAGGCTGTAGTTCATTCAAGAAATGTGTAGCCTATCAGCTGATATCACAGAATCATAGAATGGCTTAGGTTGGAAGGGACCCTACAGATCATCTAATCCAACCTCCATGCCATGGGCAGGGATGCCTCTCAGCTAGATTGGGTTGCTGAAGGCCTCATCCAGCCTGGCCTTGAACACCTCCAGGGAGGGAGCATCCACAGCCTCTCTGGGCAATCTATGCCAGAGTCTCACCACACTTGTACTGAAGAACTTCTTCCTAAGATCTAGTCTAAACCTACTGGAAGTGCTGGGGTTAAACCCCCAGCCCTGAATGAGAGTTGGCGTATGGATGATGTCCACAACCTGGCAAGAAAGACCCTGCTGGTTACTTTTCACCCAGGGTCTGGCCAGCCTTGGGTGGGAACTGATTAGGAGATCACCAGGTCCCCCCACCTTCCACATTAACTTGGAGGTGGGGCAAGAAGCCACCTATATAAGAACTGACTCCCCTTTTTTACATAGTTTTAACTGTTTACATAGTGCTTGAATATCATTCTGTATGAGGCAAGTGGTCAGCAGAAGACTACTCCCCTTTCCACATTAACTTGGAGATGGGGCAAGAAGCCACCTCTATAAGAACTGACTCCCCTTTTTTTACATAGTTTACATAGTGCTTGAATATCGTTCTGTATGAGGCAAGTGGTCAGCAGAAGACTACTCCCCTTCAGTTTAAAATCATTTCCCCATGTCATATGTACCAATTAATTTTGGTGTTTTGTGTAGGTGTACACAGAAAGCTGGTGGGACAGAGGTCTAATTCAACTGGCTTTTCTGTTTTTCAAATAATTTTCTGTTTCAAGTCAGAGTTGGCCATCAATACTCAAGCCATAGGTAAGAGTTGTTCTGTGTCTGTAAGGCATGCTGGCCTTTGCCTCCAGCTGCAGATGTGGCTACAGCCCCTGCCACCCCCATCATGAGGCTGTGTTTAGGTAGTGTTTACCTTTGCATCTCTTGAGGGTCTTAAGCTATCTATCAATGTCTGAAATAGTCTCCGTTGTCACTGAGTAAAAAGAATTTACCACTTCATTTTATTCTTGAAGAGTGCAAAACCTGATCTTTTATTGAAATAATTAGCTTTTAGTCCAATCACACATTTTCACCTTCTCTCTCTTCTCTCTCTCAGTAGTGCTATGATCATTGCTACGAAACTTATTAACTTAAGAAGGAGGTTTAAGGTTAGATTTTCTCTATGTAGAGTAGTCCTTCCTTTTCAAGTAGTTCTAACCTTTTGCCCAGCAAGTCTGATAACCTTTAGAGTATCCTAAAACAACCATTTTTTCTCTTTAACTTCACAGGCCTATAGAATAGCAAAACAGTGTAGAGACGTAAATCTTATTTTTCAGGCATTTTACAGTCCATTTTGTGGGCTAGTTAGGAGATCATGCAAGTGGGATTTTTAAAAAATATCTTTCAGGTTTCATTATTGTTACAACAGACACTGGAAACCAAACCTATATAAACTCTAAATAGAGGTAAAATCAGGACGGACTATGTAGCATCAAATTGTTGAAATGCTGGCCAATTTAACTGTAACAGAAGTGCTCATGTTTGATAACTGTGGTATTCCATTCTCACTGAATAATATTAATTTCTTTAATAGGAGTCTCCTAAAATAAGTTAAAGACCCTTTAGCAATTTTTCAAATAAAATCTCACATTTAGTTGTTGCCAGGAAGCTGACTGACATATCTGTACTGTGAGATTCATGCAAAGCTTCATGAAATAGTTAACTCTCAGATAAGCAAAATTAAACCTTGTTCTCCCATTTGTAATCTCTGAATGCTATTTTTCTTGGTAATTATTCTCTCAGCTCCTTTGGCTCCTAGCTTTACATTCGTCTTAGCAACAGCTTTTTCAAATCATAGTCTTTGTCCCACTAGTCTAAATGAATATATTATTACATTCCTGGTCCTGTGCAACAGTACAAATTCTTAGCAAGAGGTGCACTCTGCTGTTTCAGTGCAGAAACATGGAAGGAACTTGGGTCCTTAGTGTGCTCTGTTATCCCAAACTCAAAACTCCTGTCTGGAAGAGCAGCACTACTGCTTAATGCTTGTACAGTGGTACAGTGATTATTAGATCCTGCTAGAGAGACTAGCTGTTTTCAGGTTTAAGCCAAGTCAGAGCTAGTTGAGCTGCAGTGGCAGCTGAGTGGACCTGGCAAGCAACATTTTCAGGCTTTATTTCCATTTATTAAATCTGCCAGGTTTCTGATAGTCTTACAGCTGAAATGAATTTTACTTATGGGACATGAGTAAATTGTCAATTACTGCCACAGCAGTCACATCCATTTACAAGTTGTTTGACTGTGAAAATTGATGAACAATTTGCCACTCATGAACAATGAATTTCACATGGTAAATATCTGAAGGAGTTTTCTGTCATAATATTATAGAGTATTAGCAGTGTTCATTATTGATATAATAGCTGCACTTCTATTTGGCTTAGCATAGTGCTTTTACTCCAGTGGAATGTTAGCTGACCATATATTCAGAAATAAGCTCAGTTTCTGAATCCTCAGCTCACTAAATAAGAGAAGTCTTAAAAATTATATTGAAGTGAGTCTTGTAAACCAAACTTCTATTGGAAACTAGAGCAAAAAGATGCAAAGTAGCCTTAGAAATCAAAATTCTAAAAATTAAACTCAAAGTTAAAATCTCAAAATGAAATTGTATAAATACAAAGTAAAAAACATATGACCAGAGAGGACCAAAGAAGCCTCATCTCCCTGTCTGTCTGTCTGGACATGAATGACTGGGATGATCATTTCCTTACAAGGGTTCTTGCAAAACAGCTCACTGGGGACCCGACCACAACCGTGTGTGTTGTGAAATGGTTCCTGTTCTTGTATTAATGGTGTGTTGTGTTATTACAATGTAGACTTTGGCATTTTGTGTTGGATGAGAACATGACTGACCTTGTAGTACTGCTTTTTATATGTTGATGAAAACTTATTTTCCCCATTTTCAGTTTTTGATTGATAGAAAGTGATGACTCTGTGTCCTTGTCCAAATGAGGTGCTAAAAGTACACAAAACTGTTTAATGTGATTGACAGCATAATTGGGAAGAGAAAAAAAGACTGAGAATGAAAAAGAAACTGAAAGATGCCAGAAATGGGGTTCAAACAGGACAGAATCAAGTTGGGGAATTTACAAGCAAGCAGTAAACTGGAGAGGACATACATGGTTCTCATTTCCATTATTAGTATCATATGCTTTTCTATGAACAATTTTGAAGCCCAGAGTTAATTATTTGATGTTTCATCCTCTTCAGATGAACTGATGTCTTAGGTATTTCCGGGGTACTGTTAAGTCCTTAAGTCATGGAGTCTCTTATGTACATCTTTACCCTTTATTACATACCAAGTGCCCTTTCTTCTTGCCAGTTTTGGAAGAACATGAAGGAGCTTAGCACTTTCCAAGGCTATGAGCTTGCATGAGAAAAGTTTCAGGACTGTCGTCAAAGGAATTTCCACTCTTGGTAGCAGGGAGAAAAAGCAGTATGTCATATAGCAGCCACAAAATTATACTATGAAGAAAAGTTTGTATTAATTTTTTTTTTCTGTAGAAGAATCTTACCAATGTTCCAATATGGTCATAATGATGTATTATCTTTCCAGTCTGACACACTGTTTATCCTTTTATTTATTTTTATGCTTCTGCCCACAACCTCTCTTTTTCCTTTTTCAAGGCAGATCATGAAAATGTTTAACTGTGGTATTTCTGGCAATGAGCAGAAGGCATGGACATTTTACTGTGTTTTTATGTATCTACAGATGCAGCAGCTTGAGAAACAAGTTATAGATGCTGATCGTCAAGCAGAGAGAGCTTTTCAGCAGGTATATATAAACTGAAAAATTTCTCCACTAGCTATTATGCACACTGCTGTAAGGAAGGGATATTCAGAAAATTGCTATTTTTCTTTGGTATTGCTCAAAAGGGAGAAGACAGTTTCCTTTTACATCAATTGGTATGTGTTACCAGAGATGTTCTATCACCTTTCTCTGCTCACTGTCGGGTTCAGTTCAGTAAGGTCAAAGCTAACAGCACAAATCAAAAATAGATACATCTTATGAGCTTCTTCATTGATGCATCATGAGTCCTTGAAATGTGATACATGTGGAAAGAAAAGGGAGAGTAAACAGTGACTTATTTTAGAAAATCTGTAAGAAAATAAAGCAAGGCTATCCAATACAGTCTCCAAATAGGATTATTCTACGTTGTTCTTCTTATAGAAGTTAGAGCCTAAAGAATGAGATTGTGGCTAAATATTTAACCAAAGTGCCCTTTTCGTTCCAAATGGCAGATACAGCTACTTCAGACATATCATGAACAGATCTATGATATTCCCTAAAAGTCCTTCATCCTGTGAGACAGACAGAAACCAAAAATTGTAAGAATAAAAGTGTTCATGTACTAATATGGTGTTAGAAACCATTCCTGACTACAAGCCAAGTACTTTTTAGCAATTTTTTAGAATGGTCTGATGATTTGTTGGAGCTTTTTTACACTGTGCAATTGTTTATTTATTAAAACATTGCTGGTTAAGCCTAACAACATCTGCCTACACATAAATTGCATTCTTCCCATATTAGCATTTCTAACAGGTTGTGTGCTACAAGCCTAGAAGCCTCTCACTGATACTAACAGAATCTGTATACAGTCCATCAGTGTTTTGCCAGTCCTAGTGGTATTAGATGCACAGGGAGACATAACAAATTGTGAATTTCTTCTCAAATAGTCTTCAGAACTTTGCAGGGTTCTCTTGAGTCTTAAGTGTGGAGGCAATTTTAACAGTCCAATTTGTGATTAAATTACTACCTTTAACTTGGACTATTATGTTTCTTAAAGTCTTTGTTTGACCTTCCAAATAGGTGCAGGTCATGGAAGAAAAACTAAAAGCAGCTAATGTTCAAACAAGTGAATCAGAAATGAGGTTGTATAAGAGATGTCAAGATCTGGAGATCCTGATACAAGATAAAAATGACATAATACAAAAACTGGAGCAACAACTTGAAGAACAGGTTAGAAATAATGGTGTTATTAAAGACGAGCATCAACTCTACTCTTAATTATATTAAAGAAAAAATAAAAATTAAGATCAATAGAGGACAGAGAAGTTAAGCATTATTTCTGTTCTTTGATCAAAGAAGTTCCTATTAGAAGTATATGATTTGAATAAGGTTTATTCATTTGCATATTATGCTCTGGCTTTCTTTGAAAGAACTTCTGACTTGTCTCCTCTTCACTGTTTCCTCTGGAAAGCTTTCATTTTTCCTAGAGGACAGAACAGCAGCCTCAGTGCTGTTCAACATTGTTTTTTAAACACCATCTATTGCCCAGGTAACAACTACTTCAAGCAATTAGGATTTGTGTCTGAAGATACTATGCAGGCATAATGTACTAATCAGTGAGAAATATGATTATGTCAATTTTTTTTCCAGAAGCAAATAAGACTGCAAGAAGCAAAAATCATTGAAGAAAAAGCAGCTAAAATAAAAGAATGGGTGACAGTCAAGCTCCATGAGGTATAACTTGCTACAGTACTTATACAGAAAATGTAATGGTGTGACTGGATGTCCCTTAGGCTTTTGGACTGTTAAAGGGCTTTGTGCTATAGTGAAAAAAAATGCTTCCCAGTTTCATTTATCTATATAGCTACCTGCTTGAAAGAGTTAAAATGAAGACAACAGCACAGAGGGCAGAGCATCTGTATCACTCAAAATCACAGTCACAGAATGGTAGGGGTTGGAAGGGACCTAGGAGATAATCTTGTCCAACCCCTCTGCCAAAGCAGGTTCACCTAGAGCAGGTTGCCCAAGATCACATCCAGGCAGGTTATGAAAGTAGATACCCCACAGCCTCTCTGGGCAGCTGTTTCCAGTGCTCCAGCACCTTCACAGTAAAGTTTTCCCTTATATTTAGATGGAATTTCCTCTGCTCTACTTTGTGCCTGTTAAAATTCTAATGTCTACTTTGGTCAGCTAGTATATCTGCGTCCTCTTTATGGAGAAAGGGCCAAGAACTGTTCTCTGGAAGGTCCACTTATCTCTTCTTATTGAGAGAGGGTAGCTGGCAAACTGAGCTTGCTCAGGCAGATGCCTGTAGTGTGAATAATCCCCAGAAAGCTGACCAGATCTGCTGGGGCCTGGCAGAAAAAGGGACTTGATCATTTTTTTATTTTCCAGTGCCCACAGTACTGTTAGTCATGAATAGTTCCAGGGGCTTTGGTCTAGTCTCAGAAGAGACCAGTTGTCTCCCTTGTTTCTCTGCTGTGGTGAGATAACCATGTCTTTGCTGCCCAAGGCTGCCAGTTCTGGTGTGCAGCTCTGATTTCCCCTCCTTGTGTGTATAAAATTTAAGGTTGCTCTTATCGTTGAAATCCTCCTCTACTTTGGTTAACTGGAAATTATACTCCAGTGGAAGAATAATAAAATTATTATTTTTAAGGTAGGAAACTGATCGTAAATGTAAATTCTTTTTAAACCATTTAATAAAAATGCAATTAAGTTTAGCTAAAATAATTTTGAAAAAGTTTGGACAAAATCAAATGTGACTCAGATTATTGACTCGGTTTGGAACATGGAGAGTCTCCAGCTAGTTTCACAGAGGTGGGGTCAGCCAGTGGGAAGTGGAATTGCTGGCTCTCCTCTCTCTGAAAAGGGATACTCAGATTCAGATCTTCTCACCTAATCAGAGCAGGAGTTTGATCCAGCATCTCTCTTCTGGTAGTGGGCTACAGCAATGGGTCGTTGGGTTTTTAATTCCTGTCGAAGGTCTTCTGCTCTGCATAAAGTCTTCAAGTACCTAGTTTGTTAATCTTTGCTGTGGGATAGTAGGAGGCATTGGCACATTCATCTGCTTGCTCTTTAGTTTGGCAAGTGGCACAAAAGTTTGTCATTCTAGCCCACTGGTTTTATAAAAATGCTAATGCAGATTTCTTTTTTCTTAATTATAAAGGCTTTTTAAGACAGTCTTGGGTTTGCTTGGTTGGGGGAATGATTTTAACAGAAAAATAATAGCAAATAATAGTTGCAGGGAATTTCACTGTTCAGAATAAACAAATGCCTAGACTGGCATTAGAAGAAGTAGCAGAGAGGAGCTTACCATTTGAACTATCCTTAGACAGGCAGAAGTTCAGAAAAAAATCTAAATCATGTCATGAGTTTAAAAATTGTTTCACTGATGGATGAGATGACATTTATGTGCTTTTAGTTAGAGGTGGAAAATCAGAACCTTCGCTTGATCAACCAAAAGCAAACCAAAGAGATGAAAACAGTACAGTCTAAACTGCAAGGTAAATGCACAAATCTTTTAAAAGCTTCTCTATCTATGCCATACTTTCTATTCCCTATTGATTTTTGCATCCACACAATTGAAATATTCTGTGAAATCACAAAGATTTCAGTTAATATGGATTGACATCAGAGTGACTGTACATGAAAGTGTTAGACATGCAATAATTTCATTTTTATTAAAAAGACATGCAGATAAACCACAACTGATTTTTGCTGGGTGAAATGGTAACTCCGTTATTTAAGAGGTTCTACAAGTAGTAAGAATTTACTGGATTTATGTCAGATACTTGCTTTCACTTCTTTATAGCACAGATGATCCTAGCACTGTTAAGGAATAGATGATTGTCAGTCCACATCTGCTTTTTCTAGCAAATGCTCAGCTGGCAATCAGAATTCTGATCAGATTTACCACATTTCACTACAGTGATCCAAATCCTTATTTCAGCCACAGTATTACTAGGTCCATCTGCAAGTGGATATAGTTAATTTAAAAATTATAAAATGTGAATATAGGAAAGAATATCCCTTCCAAGGAGCACTATTTTGCATTAATGACAGTCCAATTTTATTTGCCACTGTGTTGCCTGTTCAACAACCTTAAGTCCCTCTGAAGGTTTCCAGAGTCTTTGCCATAGTTGCTTGACCTGACAGCTTACTATCACCTGAAAATCCTCTCATTTTGCTGCCTAGCCCTCATTTCTTGATAAACGTATCTTATGTATATATGTACATACACAGAAATATGTATCTGTGTGTATCTGTGTGTGCACACATAGTACACTTAATATATGAAAAAATTACTAATGCATATACAATATGAAGATTTTAAACTTCAGAAGCACCTCTCTTAATGAGGAAACTGGATTTTGTTCCTTTGCTATTTTTTTAACTGGTAGCAATTCTATATATTTCAGTGCTTGACAGCTTTAGTCATCCTCTTCTGAGAGAGCTTTTTGAGACAGTAAGAATTTGTCAGATGGTTTTCAACACACATTTACTGATATGCTTTAAAATATTAAGAAATTATTATTGTTTGAAGTGTCCGTGCTGGAAAGGGGCTATAAATATTGACCATTTGGTACTGTTTTAAATAGTTTACAGGAATGGATAAGGGCCTTTTTTTCCTGGAACTGCCACAGAATTTTTTGTCAACAGGGATGGGCAGCATTGTTTTCTATCAGTTCCTGGCAGAATAGCTGTCCCCAAGGACAGATTTTATATTCTAGAGGCAGTTAATAATTTTATGCTTTTACCTTCTCTTGAAGTCCATCATATATAGTTCCTAAGCCTGGTAACTTACCCTTTTTATATTTGATGTAGCACCTATTACAGATTCTTTTAATATTTTTATCTGAAGGGATGGCCACAATGTATTTTAATACTATTGTTTTACAGTGTTTCCCATACTGTATATCCTTGACTAATCCATAGGTTTAATTTCTGTCACAGCAGAAGACACTCATGTCTTTCCACAAGGTTTTCCTTCAGTATACAGTGCATGTCTTATCTTCTTGCTGTGAAATTGTTAAAAGATTCTTTTTTTCCTTACTAAAAAAAAAAATCAGTCTTTAAGAACTAGAAACATAGAGCTGGGTTTCTTTTGTAATGGGGAGGTATCAGGTAGATTTTTATATCTAGACTAAATGTTTTACTGTCTTTTTGCTAAATTTTAGTTATCCTGAAAAACCCCAAAACTACACTGCAGAGTAATGAGACTAGAAGTATAGCTTGCTGTGTGCCATTAACACAAGATTTCTGAATTACTGTTCTTCAGAAGCTACAGGCAAGAAATCTGTTACTTCAACACAAAAACCTGGAGAGTGCCAGCGACTAAGCAGTTTGACTTTTGGGTGCTTTTCAAATAGAGCAAGAAGCCCTCAACCATCTGCTAAGTCTGAAGAAACAAGCAAGTCTTCTTCTAAAGAGTCAGACTACACTGAAGGCAGAAGCATGCTAGGTACTTAGCCACCAGTACTGCCACTTTGTTCTGACACAGGTGGAAAACTAAAATCAGCCACTATGTCAGCGTATCCAGCTGTTTCCAAAGTACACAACAGTACTCTAGATGCTGCTCTCTGTGACTATGTTGAGCAGCATAAGTTGTTTAAGGCTGCCAGTCCCCCCAGGGAGGGCTGTTTACATTTTTATGCCTGTAGAGTCCTCCCCAAGTCCAGTTTCTATATATTCTCTCTATGCTATCACAGATGTCCCAGCGTTAGTTTTATGCCCTAACTCAGCAAGATCAACTCAGTAATCTTTCATTAGTATGATTAAGGACAGAAAAAAAAAAGATGCTCAAGCATTCTTTTGCACCATTGTTTCCTACCCAAAGAAGGACAAAGTTCCCATATCAACTTATCCAGTTTCCCCAACGAGCCCCAAAGTCTGGTAATGCCAGCAAGCTCACATGCCATTGTGCTATTATAAGCCTAAGGAAGTCCATTGCAGTTTGCTTCTTCCCTTAAGCAATGAAAAGCTCTGGGAGGAGACTCCTGCTCTGGTCCTTCACTTGAGTCCCACAGTACTATTTATGACCTGAGTGTTTTCTCCACAGTTGATCATGGTATCCAAAATCTCAAGCTGAGCTCTGTAGAAAATGAAACTGAAACAGATCCTATTTATATGTTGTATATTTATTTAACAAGTTCATTATAAAGGTGGGTATGTATTTCTGTTTTTGTAGATGAAGGAAATTAAGTGAGAATCTTTTTTTCAAGGGAAAGGATATGAACTAGAACCTTAGGCTTGCCTAGATGAAAAGAGATCAACTTTTGTGACTTTGTTACTTGAGCGTGGACCAAATTAAGATCTTTGGCTTATCCAATCCACTTCAACTTCATACAGCTACTCAACATTAACTTTCCCAAGTGTCTGTGTAGAATATCCCAAGTTCTTGCATCTGTTTTAATGTGGGGGGAACACATAGCCCACACAGACATGCAGTGAGCTATAGCTCTCTCTTGCAAAACCAGGCAAAAGTGAACAGCAGAAGCAAAGCTATTTTTAAGAGAGCATCTTTCCCTAAGGATTTTTTATAAGCCTGTCTTTTATATCTTAAGCATTCACCACTGGGAATATAGTAATAATTTGCAGAAGAAATTTCTGTTTATAAACAGTGTATAAATGCCCCAAACACTTGATTTGTTAATGTAAATATTTTCTGACAAACTTCATTTTCCTTAGATTTAATAAAGGAGATAAATGTATAACCCCTCTTAAGTCCTTGGGGTTCTGGGGGGTTTGTTTGTTTTCATACATACGTGGTTTACTTCAGCATAGGGTTCCACTCTGCTTATCTTTACATTTATTGCCATTTTCAGTATGGCCAGAAATTTGAGTGATGTCTGTTGCTGTTCTTTGGCAGTCATCATTGCAACTTCAGTTGCATTCAAAAATTTATAATATTTTTCTTAAGGTTTATTATTTACAAGATCAAAACACTTAAATGTGCTTACACATTTGAAATGATTGCCTGATTATTTACAGAGATGATGACAAAATCCTTGACCAGTTGAGTTTGCTGAAGTGATTTTTCTTATGCCTGTTTATTTCTCCTCTAGAGAAGGATATCCTGGAAACTACCTTTGCTGGTCCTTCACACGAGACCAGTAAAGGTCAGAAGTCATTGCAACAGAGTTCCTGTGGATCAGAGCAGAACAAAAACAAAACAAGCTGTTCATCCAAAGATATAGACAGTGACATGTCAAAGAACTCCTGCACTACTGGGAGTGACTGGAGCTCAGATGAGGATGGAGGAGACAATAAAGGACTGAAATCCAGGTGTGCATCAACTCTTTCAAGCCACACGTCTGAAGAGAATACAAGGTACAGCAGAGTAGGAAGTGAAATGTATTTGACAGCATCTGATGACAGCAGTTCTCTATTTGAAGAAGAGAGTTTTGGTATTCAGAGGACACAGCAGAAGAAATTATACTCCTGGCAGCAAATGTCCCAAAGAAAAGGCCAGAACAATCCAGGTGGAAAGTGCAACTCTGACTGCACAAGTAAAAAGAAAGACCAAGATAGTTCTTCAGATGAACTGAATAAGAAATTTCAGTCTCAGAAGCTAGATTATTCATCCTCATCCAGTGAAGCAAATACCCCAAGTCCAATTTTAACCCCTGCTCTGACACCCAAACACCCCATTCTAACAAGTTCTGCAGGTTCTCAACGCACAGTGCCATCAGATTCTCCCTCAAATTTGCCATCTCCAAAGTTACGGACTCCTAATGTGTTTAGTCTAAATTCAGCATTAGCAAAGAAACATCTCAGCCAGCCCCAGCTGAGTTCTGACAGAATGTTTGGTAGAAATAGAAATGCCATAAGCATGATACGGCAGTGGAGGCCTCAGGAAACAGACATTGATCTGGTGGATGGAGAAGATACTGATATCTTAGAGAAAATGGAGATTGGCTGTGATGAAGGAGTGTTTACCTACGATGGCACTGAAGCACAAAATGCTGAAGCCCAGGAACCTTGTGATGTGACAAAAAAGGGTGCTAGTAACAAACCTCCAACCCCTCCGTTACATCGCTTTCCCTCCTGGGTAAGTATAAGCATAGATATGTTTTCCTACTGCGAAACTTAACTCATGTTCATGCCTCTTCCAGGATTTTTGTTGCCTCTACCTTCCTTTTTCTCTGTTCATAGAATCATAGAATCAT